GAGAGCAAGGGGCTTACCAAGCCTGTAAAGGAACAAGATTACTCGTGAATTTAATTTTTTAGTAGCTTTTAAGTGACACGCTGTATCATCCCGTGTTTTACTCTTATAACATGTGCTATGCAGACTTATTACAAAAACTAGGAATAAGTTTCAGTAAGATCTCCGTCGTTGTATTCAGTCCTGTGTACCAATTAATGAACACTCTTCCTTCACTTCTCCGTATTGTCCCCAAGTGAGCATACGCGGATAAACCAGGACAAATTTATTCAAGTGGCTGGTTTTTAGTTTGATGATTTTTTTTCAGTCGAAAACATTTGCGAAGTTCTGGACATTATATTTCGTACGGTCGGTAAAGCAATCATTATTTCGGCTACTTTCTCGCAATTTCAGGAATAAATAGACATGATTGAAAGGACTAGGCTGAAGGTAATAGAGTACAATGGGATAAATTGAGGATATGTCTGCGACTATGATGACCGCGGTGAACGGAGGGTTAGCAATGACTGTACATTGATTTGTCAGAAACTCCGTAGATTTGCGAGCGCGCACACGCGTATCCACTGAGGAATGCGAAAGTGGGATGAAAACATAAAGAAACAGGTTGAAAAAGTAGATATAAGAAGTAAAAGGCAAAGGTTTCAGGGATCCTGTGAAATTTCATGCGAAGACTGTTAGTTACTCCGGCAGATCACTGCAGTATTGCAGGATTTGTTAAATAAGTGTGTGCGCTTTCCACTATTTTGCACAAAGCCGCCTTGAAATACTGGCAAAAAGAGTGGATTTCAGCGCAACCATTCAAACACAAACTAGCATGTATATATATGTATATAGATCTGCAAGCAGCTGTTTGTAAGTATAAAGGCGTGACTGGGTTGCATCGTCAATGAACTGTCCTTCCTTTACACAGAGAGAAGGCCCACGGGCCCTGCGGCAAACACGGGACATAAACATGCTGGTTAATCTTGATGAGCTATTCCGCAGGTTCGTCCGCCAGAAGCATGGAGAGGAGATATTGATCGGAAAGACAGCCATTCATAAATTCATCGCGCGTAAGCACGCCATCCTTGTTTTCGTCCATCTTGGCAAAAATCTCCTCCGTGCGGGCTTCAGGACTCAGTTCGGCAGACGATCCATCAGCTCCCAGCATAGAGTATATGGCCTTGGGAAGGGAGAGCGCAAGAAAGAGTAAAGTGCGCGAATAAAAAATAGACAGATGATATTAAGAAGTTTAATTATTTTCTGTTGACGGGAATACATTTGTGGATTTACTGACGTTTCCAACAACTGGGCCTGCTGTCCTTTGTCGAAGCAAATACTGACTTTATCAATGAGCAATTTTAAAGTTGCAGCTGTGCGTGTTGGCCGGTCGCTGTTTTGCAGTGCGTGTGGATTTGCCTTGGCGTGACGGCAGTTGGTGTTCTGTTACGTCCCCACGGTAGAGGTAATCCTGCTCCCTCTTTCGGTGGTTTTGTCACAATTCGTCTTCGTCTGCAAGTACCGACTTCGGTTTGACCGTGTCCTGTCCTTTACGAACGTAATGGCCTAGGACTTTGTAGGACTCAGGGAGGTCCAAATGCCGGAGAAAAATCGATCAGCCCAAAGCCAACACGCACAGCCGCAACTTTAAACTTTCTTATCGACAAAGTCAGTATTCGCTTCGACAAAGGACAGCAGGCCCAGCTGTGCAAAACGTCAGCAAATCCACAAATGTATTCCGGTGAGCAGAAGAAAGTGAATTCTTGTTCTTAGCCCGAAATTCTGACTTTTAAAATTTGAGAACGGAGGATATTGCCAAAGAAACGGTAAAGTTCCCGTAAACAGCATTTTGCAGGATATATTTACTGTAAAAAGTAACGCCTTATGTCCAGCGGCCGCTGCATACAAATGTCCAACCCAAAGGCATGTCTGATTGATTAGTTATTCGCGTCAGTCGAGGTTAATTTCAGTTCTGTATTTGCAGATTGTCAGAATTGGTGTCACTAAGTCAGATTTTGCCGTCAACCTACAATGAAAACGTCATCTTGTTTGCAAAATGGGGAACAGGTCTCAGTTACTTTTCCCTTCATAGGTCAACTGAATCATTAAGCAACGTTATCAATAACCGCGGCCATGCAACTGAAACATTAGTGCCCGTTCGACTTGATTACCGCTCGGGCTACCATCAGTAAACTAACGGAGGCGTATCATGATATGATTCAGATTTAAATTAATGGCCCACTGACGGTGCTTGCTATAGAACTGACTGGTGACGGTGACTGTACGGAAATAACCACTATGCTGTCACTGTCTTTGACTTTAGGCTCTTAGTCATCATGCGACCGTCTATGGTGTGTAATTTCCAGGCTTCAACACAGAGAGGAGATTATTACTTCCGTTCTGTAGTGAACAGATATTGATTGATACGGTTCTCAAGCCCTCAAAGTATACTGACTGCTTGTCATCTCTGAGCTTGCTTCATTTTTAATGTTTCCGGTACTCTGTGTATCTTTGTCAGTAAACTGTCGGCAAAAGGTTGTGAAGAAAGTGTTTTTGAGGTTGTTATACAAGTATTTTTTTCGTCACTTACGGCGGCCACTTTTCATAAGTAGACTGCCATTGTATAGCTATTGAGGCAACATAGCTTGAGTTGTAACGGAAATGGACTGCCTTATCCATTTTGTCTGCCATAAGAACCGCAATAGGAAACATACACTATTAAACAGTATCTTCTTCAAAAAACAATGTTATACGCCGGCCGGGGGTTTGTTAAAATTCCGCGAACTCTAAATCCCAACATTTTCGGTCATGTTTAGGTTTGATAAAAGTGGTGCCTTGTTTCCCACCAACAACATTATTTCTCATTACGTAGCTGGAGGAGGCTTCTGAAGGTTCACAGAGCAAGCATACTTGACTATCGCACATACAGTCGACAGGCATTATGCTCAATTCCAGACATCCATTGATTTTGCCATTATTGAGTACAATTTAGTACGAAAAACACCTAAAATGTGACGTATGCAAACTAAGCCATGTGGTTTAAAACGTTCTAATAGGTTAAAGCGGAAAAAATATAGTCAACAGTATAGACAGCATAAAAACGTACTCTACAACAATGACATATATTGTGCGGTACAGTAGGTTACCTTTGTGTTTCCACAAAAATATCACATCGAACATTCAACCAACACAGTACTTATGAAATCAAAATGTATTCTAAATCCTCTCACACTTTTCTGGTTAAAATTAGTTGCCTGAAAAGTTCAGCTTAATTCTGCAACGTGTTTGGAGAATAAGTGAGATATAAGGATGCGATTTTTAAATCATCCGTTTCCGCTTAACTTTGAGTGTATGCAGGTGGGCTTGAATTTCTGAGAATTTGTAGCCCAACGCATAATCTAACTAGGTGAAACTTATTTGTCAGATAACTGCGCAATCATTGACATAAAGGATGGAAGGGTGTTGGCCAATCAGTGTGAGAATTGGCTTTACTCCATTTGTAAAGGGTTGTAATTATGATGCTATATGCGCATATAATCCGCATTTGAATCGTTGGTTATCGGAAAACCAGAAAATAAGAATGGTATGCTAACGGCGCCAAAAGGTAATTACGGTAACTCATAACTTTGAAAACACTCTTATTCATATATAATCGGCAGAAGTCACCGCGCTGTAACTATGGTGTAGACGGATTCTCTATTCGCAACTTTATATTAGTTTCCTTGAGTTGACTTAATTGATGCGAAAATATAAAAGGAGACCGAAATGGTCAGTACGTTTAAAAATGAAGAATAAAGAGCTGGAGCTTACCAACATTTTAAACTGCAGCTATCAAATAAATTTACATAATCGACAAAGGTGTGCGTAAATAAGTTAAAAATACTGCTAAGCTGCAAACCCAAACAAGGAGAGATGCAATTTGATACACATAGCGAAAAATTCCCCCTTTCACAACAATATCTTAGGTAAAATGCTGTTTTACATTGAACGGCGATTAATTACAGTGCATCGGGAAAGTATGTCGTTTTGGCTTGACTCGGCAAAGCTTTAACATAAAGGTAAGATTTGATTTTTTGTAGTAATTGCCAGCAATATTGTTAGAATTACATGCAAAAAACTGCAAATGCCCTGAAACTACTTCTACGTAATTCCCAGGTAATCTTATTACAAATAACGTATGAAGCACATGATGCTTAATAGCCTATCTAACTTTTTAGAACGAATTATCTAGGAAAGTATGATGCTAGATGTTCCTATTTGGCTAAAGTGTTGAACTTGGGTGGCATCGACGTGTTGGCGCCAAAAGAAATCAAAAACGGAAAAAACGCTTCCCAAGCATTTTAACTCATTGTGCATCTCTACGTTAAACCCACTAATTTTGTCAGTATTTTAGACCTTTAGTTGTCCCATGCTATCATAACGTTCACTGCCCTCGAAGATACTAAAAGCCATGTGATGTTGGTAGTAATTAACTCATAACACGCGAGGTGTGAACCGGTTTTGCCTAGAAGAAAATGAAGATTTTCTCCTTTAAAACCAATATATAAGTGGCAGTATCCCTCAAGCGAGAATTATGGCGACTGCACAATAACGTGACTTTAATTAACTAAGTCTACCAGATATAGAAAAGGGTCCGATTTAGCAATGCTTTTTATCCTAATACTTCATTAGATTTTGGAGACGCCATATTTGGGCTAACCGTTTTTAAAATAGGGAGGTCTCGAAATGCAGACAAGAAGTTGAAGCTTTCTTTACTTGTGAGATTGAGCTTTGAGGCATTTCTTTGATTAAATATAATTTCAGGGTCATAGCTGGTGACCAGTATTCCAGTTAATCTTTGGTATTTCAAAGTTTTTTCCAAATTTAGGCAGGTTAAACATCTATTCGCAAACGTAGCCTTGTGATTCTATCTTTAAATTTGCCGTACAAGCCTCTGCTTTTGTAGCGATCATTCCCTTAGGTGGAATTATGTGTAGGAGAGAAATTTTAAGGAAAGGAAACTGGTGTCCATATTAATTCAGTTTTCCTTTCGTTCGGCTAAGGTAAGTCCGAAAAACCAATTTTTCTTGACTTATTTTATACTACTCTTTATTACCATCAACGTAATTGTCGCCACCTTAAATCTGCGTGCTCTAACATTTGCAAATGCTCGAATGTCAGCTAGTCTACGCTGACAATTATTAAAACCGCGCATTTCGTACGAAACAAATGCTTATGCGCTCTGCATGCTACGTTTCGTTATCATTGATTGGTACTAAAGTGAACACATCAACAATATTAGACAGCTTAATGGGGACCCACTCCAAAACGAGGTAATTTATTTCTTTGGACCCTCGATGGCCGATTTTATCTACGATCCCTATAAGGCTCCGGGGAGCACTAGAAAGTTAACACGGCCTCAATGTTTATATGTAATAGAGTGCAAATTAGGTCTTTGACACTTATGCCATTTCTGGTATTAGAGAAATACTGAAGAAAGCTATCGACTGCTAAAAGTAATAGTTTATGTGCGGAGCATCGTTATGGTGCAATTGTTCCTTAGACACTTTCTTCTTGCCTACCAGAAAGGTGATTTCTGGCCAATCTTAATACTGCACCCTAAAGTACGTCAAAAATAAAGGCAAGTTATGTCTATGTTGCCCCTGCAGAGTCGGTATTTGCATGGTTATGGGATTCTCAGACAATTTCAAAAGTGACTGGTTGACAGCTAATGCTGCCAGTCTCAAACTAAAATGGGGCTGAAGTCTTTAGACCGGGCGTTATCTGGGTGTACGGCCAAGTTCTGGACGCATAAGTATATGATATGGTGGTTACGTACCTCTGTATCGCATGACTGATCGCGGTATGTGTCAAATATAACGCGTAAAAAAACCAGACATGCCCCTGTTGGCCGCTATGTTCTGACTGAATATGTGCACAGATCTTTCACCACAGGGCAACTATGGAGAATTAGTCGTGAACTAAAATACAGGTTGGTATAAAGCAATGTTAAAAAGTTCAAAAGTGATCGTAACTGGCAAACTAATTGCAAAGCTGTTATGTGGTATGAAGCAACTCACTCGAATTATTTCAACCATTTCGCTTCTTTCTATAGTTCCGTTTCCATCAATGTCGTACATCTGATAGGCCCATTCCAGTTTCTCCTTCGGACGGCCACCCGATGTAATGTTTATTGCAAGTAGAAATTCCTTAAAGTCAATCTTGCCAGAGTTGTCTTTATCAAAAGTTCGAAAAACGTGGGTGCAGAACTCCTCTGCATTTCCGTCGGGGAAGAACCCGGAGTAAACTTCAATGAACTTTTTCTTGCTTAGTTGACCTGAAGGGCAATCGCGCTGCAGAATAAAAGGAACACCAGATGTCAGCCGATGCTCTCTAATCAGTGTTTGTTTTTGACAGCATCAATGTCGAAAAACCAGGAAATACTTTTTAAATAAATGTTTAAGATATGCAGAGATTCAAGATGGGCAAAACATAAATGTGTTCACAGGAATTAAGAAAGATGATTGGTAAACTAGCAGCCTTTGGTCTTTTAACTTTCGTATTTGTGTCATATTTATTTAGTTTCCAGCTATTCAACATCGTGGGTAAACATATATTTTGGGCCAGTTCCTCCTGTATGCATTCGTATACTCACGATTAACCTCCGGTAGGTGTTTCAGTATTTAACACATTGTCCTTGGTGTAAGAAAGGTTTGGTTGCTATTAGACTTGTGGGTCAACCTAAAGGCAGTCACATATCAAAAGATGCTGGTTGCTCTTTCAGTTACTAGGCTATTAAGCAAGCATTCACTGGCGATGTGGTCCTACTGTGGGTGCGATATGGACCCTCAGAATCTAAAATCTACGTTATCGGCAGGGAGATAACAGCGGTATATGCCTCAAGAATATGAAGACCTTTCAGACGACAAATCGGCCTCTGCAAGATTCATGCACCGCTAGGTGCGCAAACAAATAGCTTCTCTCTTACTTTAAAATAACATAATCACCTATCTCCTGGCCAAGTGATCGGGCTAGCTTTAAGTTTTCAACTTACGTTTTCAACTTAATTTGCTGAAGAAACGCTGTACATTTCTGTCATTATTTTTGCCAAAAAACAATGGAGCGATTGGTGTCCCGCGTTGTGTTTTATGCAGCAACCAATTGGTCAGTCATTAAACTAACTTTAATTTATGCCGCCCATAAAATTTAGCATTACGCTCTCTGTTTTATTGGCAGACTTCTTTCATAGCAGAAAGGTGAAAGGGTGTTCACGTGGAAGGATTTATATGATATCTGACGTTTCGGATAATCATCCTGTCTATCCAACTTCAAAGAATAAATACTATGGCTCCTGGCTCTCACTATATGCCGCTCATTTCTTCCGCGTACGTACACTGCCAATCTAGATTGACCACTTAGAAATCGAACTTTTACTACTATTGCTGTAAAGAAACTTCCGTTTCGTTTTTGCAGACCTGGCTCAGCATATCTTACGCAAAACGCGTACCAGATCGATGAGTATTCGAAACTTTACCAGTGTCTGCAGAATAACATCTCATCGCAGATAAATGCCTTTAGCGCTCTTTGGAAAATGTTTCCAATCAGATTTTATGCAACTAATCTTAATTTATTATCAATACAATAGCGAATAAATATTTTCATTGATAATTAATTGACAGAAAACTGTGCCACTTTAGGTGGAATGTGTTTGCATGGCATACACTCAAGATATTGAAAAAAATGCTAATGCATAGTATTCTATTGTTCAGGCTGCAGGGAGCAAACTGCATATTGGGCTCAAAAGATGTATATGCAGATAAAGCAATCGCGGGGAGCGTTTGCGATGGAGATTTATAATTTTAAAAAACAGCCCTGATGTGCTGTGATAATTTACGTGATGAAGCCAAGTGACGCAGGCTAATACATAAAAGAGTCCCTGATATTTGCTTATCGCTATATTAGTGACATATGCAGAGCTGCCTCCGAGTAGCAATAAATACAACAGATAGTTAGACGGACATTCTGACTTATTTGAAGATTATCTTCACCTCAATTTCAAAATATAAAAGTACTTGTGGTAATATGTGGCTTGCAACTATAAGAATAAACATTGTCCTCAAAAATCAATGAAAGCGCAAATGACCGGTCACCGGAATCTATTTTAAGAGCAAAGGGTTACACGAGACATTTACTTATGGCAATTAACAAACTTTTCCCTCCTACCGAAGTTCATAAAGGTTCTCAAAAACCTGCGACAGTATCCTAGTTGTAAAAGCTTTCTTGCATGAAAGGGAGATTTGCAACCGATACAATAGCATTAGTATTTTTATAAAGTTTACGTTTACTAACCAATTTGCACAATGCTTTCGTATTTTTGTGACTGAGTCTCTCATTTTTGCAAAATCTTGATAATCCTGACTAGGCGAATTCAATTTATTGTTATCTTATAAGTTTTTAAAACAGAAAATCTGCATGCGATGTTAGGGTCTAGGTTCTTGCTAACGGTTCAGTTTGTAGCGAAAAACAGTTATTTTGAGAAGTGTTTCAGTTCAACGCTGACGTTTAAAATATTCCGTTCTCCCCGCAGTGTGATGGCGTTTTGCAATAATAAGCAGTTAACATATTTATATTTGTATTAACGACCCAGCATCAATTTTCATTTTCAAGTTCTTATTATCACCCCAGTCTTAAAAATTGGAGTCATTATGACCTTAAGTGGGTTGACCTACTTAATAGTTAAGTGTGCCTTCAGGGGTAAGAGTGTATTAATAGTCTTCAAAGCATTAACAAATTTTAAATTTATAAGACTAAGCCGAGAACTGGATCTATCAAATGTTGTTGACTTGTCATGGCGGAAAATTGCGGCTCAATCAAACCTCTAGAAGTCCTTTAATACTACGTTCAACTGTAGGTAGACAACGTAATGATATTTGATGACTGAGCATTCACTACTTATGACTTGGGCATTTTTTTACTAAATACACAAGTTTTCCTTTTGAAGAAAACATTTTGAAACAAAAGTAACTTACATAAGCGCATCACCTATAGTTGTAGTTTTTCCAAAATCCCCATATTTTAAACAGTACAGTCCAGTATTGCTCTGCGGGGGAGTTTTTGACTTCTAAACAAAGCACGCATGTGGTGAACTGCCGCATACGTTGGCGCGGGGTTGGGCACGCGGAATATTACCTCTGCTTGCTTAACGCACACCCAACTTACCGCATCGGCAGTTAACGCACACCTGCACGCTTTGATTATCACACACACATTATTCATACCGTTTATAAACGTTAACGAATTTGTACTCACAATGAAGCCGTTGTACCACTGTTTGATCTGTTTCTTTGTAAAATGTGTGTTGCTCATCAAAAATTCCAAGTCTTCTTTGGGAAGCTTCTTCCTTGATGTCAGGGCATTTCCCATTACTAAAAATGGAAAATGGGGAGATCAAAAGAAGCGGTTGTTTTAGCCAGTGTACAGCGTCTTTGTCGCACGTGACGTCGCAATACTTTGTCAAGCGTAAATTGTTATACTTATGTAACAAATACCAAGATTAGAACGGATATTAGTTCAGACTCTTTTTGCTTTATATTAATAAGGACCGAAAGTACACAGTTCACAAGTATCGAGTCTCTTCTAATAAACCGATATATCAGGCCTTAAAATGCAACTTTCTAAACTAACGTATATATTGCTGCATGATTTCACCCAATTTTAAGTAAGTATAAAATAGTAATGATTCATGAATATATTCCTACTGAATTAAGCAGTGAGTTCAATGGAAGAAGTAAAAGGGAAAACGGTGTGGTTTGAGGGGCCATTTAACTAATAAATGGTAACTCTATATTCCAGAACTTAGTCAAATATTGTTTGCGTCTATAAGAAATTTCACACTAACGTGGCTTTATGAAGATGTTGTACAATTATTACGGCAGGACACTGATATAAACTTGAAAAAAAGATGCATTAGGGACTTGCTGTACGAAAATATATTTTGTTTTTATGCTAAGTTGAAGAATATGTTTATCAAGAGCAAAATGATTATGAAGGTAACTTAAATCTACAAAATGTATCTGAATGCATACAAATCTATTGTTTATCCCGCTTTCTCTGGCATAAACGCCAAACCCTAATTTAGCATCTCTAGACTCCATAAAAATCTGTCGTTAGTCATAAATTTAGATCTTGTTGTTTTCAGATTTTTACCAATATTAGGTAAAACCGAAACAACGAGATACTTTTTACGTTTCCTAAGAAAACAGAAGACTGTGTCATTAACGCTCGTGGCATATATAATTACATGTAGCCGAAACGTCGGGGCCTAAGCGGTTTCTAAGAGTATGTTAGATTGAAAACAGAATCGTATTGTCCAATTAAGTTAGTATTGGCTTTCTTTTAACAGGCAAACAGTAGTGGGCTACACGCCCTGAATTCATGAGCGCAGGCATAGTATATTCTACTACGCAAATGACTAATGTGTTTAGCATCTGTATAACACTTTTAACTTTCTTACAAATATTATGACCTCTGCATCAGTTTAGATCATATGAAGTGACATGCCTTCCAAGTTTAATGCGTTTCAACCCTACGCCATATATTTTGATTTCGAAACCATTTTAAGAACTATATTACAATACAGCATAGTGCGCCAATCTAAATAACGCTCACATCGGTATCGTATTGAATAAGCAGAGGTTTCAGTTGCCTCATTTATGAAAACTCACCGGCTTTGATGGAAATCAGACCCATGCCAGCATGGAGAAGGCTTTAATTAAAACAACCCTCTAGCCAAGTGAGCTGCAGGGGCACCACGGAGAGTTGTGAGTTTAATCACACTTGAGTCAATTTACCCGCCCAGCTTATCGCAATTTGTGCAACTCACCAATTTCGATACATTCATCTTACTATCCAACAGGATAGACAGTCAACCCAGAATCCACCAGACGACTACCGAGCACAATAAAAAATGCGTTTTTACTATTTTTTTCGAGAATGCACATTTTGAATACTTTCTACAAATTAGCTGCACAGGTTATTCTGCAATATCGGAATACTTTCTCATGCCAACGTATTGGATATATAGGTACATAAGACAACATAGCATAAGGTACGGAATTTTGTCCAGGCAGACATTTTGGGATATCTTAAACATAACATCATATTTTAGAATACCGACATACACAGTGGCACCACAGTATAGCTATGTTGGGCTGTTGGCCCTCGTCAGCTATGGGCAGCTAACTCTAGTGTAGCCACTGAAATTGCCGTCACACCCGAGTTTCGAGCTCGCGCCTCGCCGGTCAGAGGCAGACGTCCTAAATATTGAGCCAGCGAGTTCAACGTCCAACAAATCGTGTTGCTCATAACAGATTTGTCGCCTTGTTGCTGATGCTAAATATTAAGCAAATACTGATCTTGAGGAAAGCATTATGGGTGGTATCGATCATATAATTGTCTCTATCTAAAAGAAATAGATTTGTGCAATGGAAACATGCAACCGCGTTCTCTGTCGACTTGGAGTACCCTGAGAATGTTCAAAAAGGAAGTTTTATAGGTGAGGTTTGACGACCACTACCTGTAAATATATTTAACACATCGATGCACAGAGTCGTCTCTTTTTAGTGTACGGTATTTACCGAAGACAGATTCATGTAAGTTAACCAAAGGACAAACCTGTGTTAGTCACATCATTCAGTCAATGTAGCATTGCAGCAGTTTATAGGTGCCAACCCCCAGCAATGACATTAATTTTCATTTAGACTTATTTAAAGTACGAAGTCGTCATTCAACTTTGCATAAAAATGAAATGTATGTTATTGCCGTCTCATCGAACCAAGACGGAATATATAGGCCTTGCGAAGAAATATGTCAACTCCTTCTTGTTTATTGTAATTTTTCTCTCAACGAGTAACCTGCGTTTTTTGCCACGGATCTATAGCGTAGACCCAAAGCTGTAGACGGACGATAGCCTACTGTGATTAACCATTTTTTTCCTCAGTGTCATATCTCTTACGCACCAATCATTTGAAAGCTTCTACGCATGGAGTCAATGGTCATCGGAAGAGATTTGCAACTAATTATTTATACCTCATTGAGCACAGTTACTGTCGTGCTAACCTCTAGGCCTTTGCGGGCATATATAGCTATTAGGTAAGGATGCAGATTAAAATATGTTCCATCAGTCGGAGTTTTAATGTGACCGTTGAATAATCATGACATTGTGTTGTTTATTTTGCGTCGACAGTCGGGTGAACTTACGGTTTATCTTATCACATCATTTCACCTACTTTGAGGACAACCCTATTAGTAGAATGAAAAGCGTGTGCTAATGTGCAGTTGATATTTCAGATCCTTTAATCAGTTCGAAGTGCATTTCATTGCGTAGTCAATTGTGTAAAGTATAAATAAAAAGAAATTAATAATCTCGCTCGCGGTTTTATTTTCCCACATTATTAGACTTTTTTTCTGAAAAAACTTCCAGACATTAAAATCTTGTTATTTAACGTTTGCACTTAGATACAGTCACAGTGTTCTACACCGCGGCAACGGATTGGTTGCTTGCTATTTATATACATAGACATTTTCATTCAATCTTTTGAACTTAATTATTTCCCTACTTTTTAAGGCAAATGTTTGGGCATTCTTGCTTTTCTGTGAAGATTATAATATTGTGGGGCGTGGACGAGCGTCTTTGTAAATGACCCCTTTGTATCATTAGTTTTTCACATGTTGTAGGCCTTACTTTTATTAGAGAACTGACGAATATTAACCAATATTAATATATTATACGTAATAAAAATAACATGTAATTTATTCTAGTGTGGGCCATAAACATATACTCCAGTGGGCATATATCACTGGGTAAGGACATCTTATATTTAAATTAACATACTAATCGCCCAACTATGAACAACGCAGACAAGTTTCAAAAAGCTTGAAAACAAATTTGTGAATGCAAGTACCATTCAACTGTACATGAATCAACTAATACGTTAACAGAATACCGACTTTAATTTCCCAAGGATCCCTTGCGTCAAGGGGAGCTAAGCAAGTGTTTTGCAGTACATTTCCAGATGCAAAATTATACGCAGTTATGAGTGCCAACAAAAAAGTTTTTTTGTATTACAACCTTAGGACAGTTTTATTATTTTTGGGAAGATACGGACCATTTCCCTAAAAAAGCGTCTAATATTTAGCTCATAAACGACAGGCATAAGTGCCTTTAAAAATTATTTTCAAATCACACTACCAAATGGCTTGGAAATAATTGATAATGTGCTAGTACTTACAGAGAAAATATTTTAACACATACGTTTTAGATTAATATCGCAAAATCCATAGTTAATAGAAACTATCTCCGATGTGCAATCACGTGTTGTACAAACACCCTACTGTTCATTTTTTCTGGGCTCAGACTTAAAATAATTTCCAAGAATCTGTACTATTTTTCACTTTGCGGAATTGCTACGATGATGGTAAAGGTTATTGGTGTTCTTGTAAATGTTGTGCTTTAAATTTACACTGTGCCAACCTTATGATGTTCGCGTGGTCACATTACCGTTTCAGTTCTACTATTGTTACTATCCTCCTTAGTTTTTTTAGAAAGTATCAGATAGTGGACACACAACTTCCTAGTATAACTAAACGGACACCAGTAGTATCAAAAACGTAAATATTTGATAACCAACTTGGCATTATCACGTCCCAACCTCTAAGAAACCGATATGATAGTTGATATACACTATGTGGAATTTAGTTATCTTCCATATTTTTCAAATAACCTAATGTTTCCCATTGTTTGCAATAAAAATGCAACTTTGATATTGTTTGAACATTTTCAGTACACTAACCAATCAATTCCGAAGAAACCATCACGGTAGCACATTACCTAAACGAATTTTTTTCTGAGCAAATGTTGCAAGTCTAAAACATTACTGAGTAATACCTCCAAGGACACGAGTTTTTTTGTCTTTTTCCACACATGCAATAAGAAAAAAACACAAGTGAATTAGCAATGATTTAAAAAACACATTTCAGTTTATATGGTGAAAAAGATGTTGAAAACTCCATTTCAGAGAATTAATTCGATGCCTAGTGCAAAAAAGAGGCGGGATACTTCAAAGCACTCAAATTTCATTAAAATATGTGGACAGCTGCAACAGGCGGTTTATTTACAACTCACGTACTATATGACCTGTGGAGGACAAATAAGATTGATGCGTCGATTGGAGAACAGACGTTTTGGTTTTGGTAGCCTGTAGCTGGTTACCCTTAAGCACACGAATTGTCGTCTTTGGTCGGCAACAACTTATGGTTTCGCCAGCAGAGCGATAACGGGCGCTGAATCCATCAATTTGTTTTCAAGCTGGCTGGCACAAGGACTGTTTAACTGCCCGCAGAAAATCAACAGAGTTCACGGGAAG